TTTATTTCTTGATTAAACCAATTTGATTTAAAATCATCAATTATAGATAATAGTAACATTTGAACATGATGAAGAATTTTATATCCAGTTAAAATTTGATAAAGAATATTAGTTGCAAATTTTTTATTCGATTCTATTGACCAATTTAATGGAATAAAACCTTTACATGGTTCTCTATAAAGAGTTATTAATTGTTTTGAATTATTTATTGTTGCATTTATATAAGATTTAGCACAATAACCACAAACTGGATTTGAAACAATACAATTAATTAAATTTTTATTTCCTTCTAATGGAAAATTAATAATAAAATCATTAGTTGTATCTTCAAGATTATTTGGTTGTTTTAACCAAAGAATAAATGGTCCTTGTTCCATACAAATAGCACATTTAAATAATGGAACATTTGTATGATCTAAAATATCAATTGTATCAGAATATTCATCATCAATTGTTGTTAATATTTTAGCACGATTAGCACGATTTGATGAAAATGTAAAATCATTAATTGTATATGAACCTATTTCTTGTTCAAATATTAAATTTTGTATAGTATTCCAATATTGACGAATTTTATTAAGATTGATATTAATATATTGTAAATATTGAATTTCTTCAATTTTAGCTTGATCAGATATTTCATAAAGTTGTTGACGATATTGATTTAATTCAATTGAATTATTAATTTCATTTAATTTTAATTTAACAATATTTGAAATAATTTCATCATGTTGTTTTAAATATTTAAAATTAAAATTTGATTTTAATTTTTCTTTTTCAATTTTTATTGATTCATTTTTCATATGAGAAACATATATTCGTAATTCATATAATTTATTATTTATTTTTCCATATTGAATTAATGTTTTCCAATCATTTTCAGTTAAATTTAATATTGAATCTAGATTTTTATTATTTAAAAATTTATTAAAATCAATTGCAATTATATCTTGTTCATTATCACGTATTGTAATATAACCATCAGGAATTTTTGTATATTCATAAATTTTTATATTATGAAATAATTCATTTATATTTAATGTAGTTAACTTTTGATAATCTGTTAAATCATCAGATGATTTATAATATTGACTAATATAACCTTTTGATGAAAGAATATAAAATATTTCACCATCATAGAAAAGACATAAAACATTAGAAGCCATCATTAATGGTGCAACAACTGAAACATTGATTTGTGATGGTTTTGATAATTTTTCATTCACGATTATACAAATAACTAATGCTTTGTTTAAATAATCTTTTGTATAGATAGCAAACTAAATTTTTAAAAATGATTTTAATTTCAAAAAAATTTTATTTCTATTACTCTTTAGACTAACGAGAAAAGTCTTCAAACTCATAAATCTCTGTTTATGTGAATTAAAACTATGATAATAATGTGTCTTGTAGATTACTCATACAAATCAAAAGACTTAAAACTTTCACATTTTGATGGTGAGGAATAGAGACCGTCGGGTTCGGATCCAAAAATTCTTGGATCCGATGGGCTCTTGTGAGGAGATATAAATGACACACACTCACATCAACAGACGTGCAATGAATGGTCTAATTACTTGCTCATAGTCGTCAAGAGACGGTCGAAAAACTCATATTATCTTTCTGCTATATGAATGATTGTATTTTCAATACTCAAATGTTTCATTCTTTTATAAAAAAATCAAAATTTCAAGTTTTCTCGTTTTACCTGTGTGACACTAGTATTATCGATTGCTCCATCGGTAACAAAAACAATAACATCCGATTTAGTATATGCTTCTTTCGTTAATTCATTGTAAAATATAGCACTTGGACTTGTCCCACCTTCCGGTGTTGCTGTTTGAATATTTGTACATAATTTAGCTAATGTATTCCAAAGAACAACATAATCAAATTGAGTAACGTGACAAATACTTAATTCAGCTTCCAAAATATTTTTTTTTATCGAAACCAATTGAGAACTTGTTGAACCAGAATTATCAATAAATATACCGGTAATAAAATCTAAACAATATAAAATATTCTTGTAAATTAAGATATGTCATGTGAAAAATTATCAAAATGATTAGTTATTATTTTCTACACAAAAAAGAAATTACCTTTCACCGTTTTTAACTTAAGTTCAGCTTTTGGAATTGTAACTAAATATGATGATGTCATTTTTTGTGTTTTGTATAGTAAAATCAGAAAAGTAAACACGTATATACGACAAAACTTTGCACAATCTGTAAGAAATTAACACGTAATAAACTATCTTGAGTAAAAATTTGATAGAGTAATCATGAGAAAAAAAAACCGCAAGGATAACAACAGCGATCAATGTATAAACAGAAAAGACACGATCTATCTTCTTTTATAGGTTCAATGTTCTAGAAACAATGGGTCACTATGCTGCTATGACCGCTGTAACCTCTTGACCGACGAAGCTGCCTGTTCAGTTTGTTCTCTATTCGTATTTTTTTCCCTTTTTCTTTCTCGTACAAACTCGTATTCTGTATAAAATAGACACAATTGGTGTGATGAAGCATTGTAGTGAATATCTATCCTATAGGGATATAGGTAACACTTTTCCTTCAGTTTACCATTGTTGGTCACAATAAAATGCCCATTACAATTGTAACGAAATAGAACAACATGATATCTCTTATTTTCGTCACAATCAATTACTTAGGACTATAGACTTGCATGTCTCTATTGTTTCATTAAGTCGTATCCAATTTTTTTTTAATGCCTCACATTCTTCACTAATATAACATTTAGTTTTTGATGTAAGTTTAAGTGATAAAACTCGTGTTTCACGTGTTAATGTACAAAAACAAAATAAAAATCTATTCGTATATGTGTTGTTTCTGATGTGCCAAGTTGTTTTGATTGATGTTGTGAATGTTCTTGAAAAGTAAATATTTCAAATATATACGATCATATAGTATCAATGTTAACTTGTAATGATTACATAGCTAGTGACCATGCTAACGTAATCGATCGATCATCGACTTTTCTAATGCTGAAATCAAGTGCTTTTGGCAATGAAACTACATAAAACAGACTTTGTTTTTTTTTTTGTTATAAATCTTCGTATTGATTTCATATGGTGCTATAAGTATCATATTAGTTTTGATGTTTACTAAGCTACTCACATTGAATGTTATCTTCATTTCATGTACAAACATTACAATAATGATTTAAACCTTCAGTTAATTTTCGTAAAAGAGTATCACATTAACTTAATGAAACGTTTTTTTTTGCTAGAATCTAATTAGCTTAAAGAGTATCATGACGTTCAATAAAAGAAGAAAATATCGCTTTCATCTCTTAATAATGATAGTTACCATGATAGAGATTTTCATGTTGAATCTGCATTGATTGTTCGTAATAGTTTGTCAGATATAGAAACTAATTATAAAAACAAATAAATATCATTTGACGGTGTAAATAATCATTCAACCGTCCACATCTATACTCATACTCGACTGTATACGAGATCTCAATATTCAACAGAGTATCTCGAAAGATGTTCATCTCTCAATGAATTTTCAGTGACTTCCGTTTCTTTTGGCTACATGTAGCTTTTTACATTATTCAAAGTTTCATTTCGAGTGTTCTCCTTCGAAAATTGATGTTTGGGGTACGCGGTGCTGAGCGATTACCTACGTATAATGAAAACAAAACATTAGGATGATGTTTTTAACGAACAGAATTTTGTGTACAAATATATAGATATATATAGAGTGTATTTTACTCATAGAGGATCTGAAAAGCCTTATTTTGAGATTCTAAATAACAATGAAAATCTTGTTTCTATACCCAAGACGCACGTGCATATATGTTAAATAGTGCGACAGGAGAAAGAAAGATGAAATATCACTGAAAGTCGAAGATTAGAAATGATGCACTGGTGAAGTATCTATTGGTATTACTTAAATCGTCGTATGAATATTTTTCTGATGTCTTTCTCTTTCTCTATTTTGTAGATGTTGATGGTAAAGCAGCTGATGAGTGACTACGTTCCAACATATTTTGAAAGATTTCCAGATGAACTTTAGTTGCATTTTTTCAACTATGTGGGCATTCGTCATGTGTACCGGGCCTTTTTCGGACTTAATTAACGAATCGATGAAATTTTGCGATCACTCCATAATATCTCTCTTAGTTTGTTGCCGTCCGATGATGCCAATGATCCATTGTTAGAATTTTTTGCGGTGTGGGTGTGGATGTAAGAAAAGATAAGACACCCTCACACCCTCAAGTTATTAATAAATTCAGGTAAATTTTTTTTGTTTTTTGTTTTTAATTTTTATATTATTTAATCGTTTTTTTTTTATAAATTTACAGAAGTTGGCTCGAAAGACATGGCCGTTCGACAAAAAAATGAAACTGCAAATTATATTTTTTTTATTTAATTTTTATGTATATCCTTTTTTTGTATATGCTTTATTTATTTTTATGCATACTTTATTATTTTGTGTAAGTGTTGGCATTTTTTAAAATACTGAGTTTTTTGATTGAAATAAAGGTACTACGCAGCAAATACGGCTAGAAAATATTAAATATTAAGAATATATATATTAATATTAACTGTTAGTGACGGAAAATAAACCAATAGGATGCTTTCAAAAAGCGACACAGACACGCTTGCGACACCATAGGCGTACATGTTTCGACACACCATGACACACCTTACGCGCATGTGTCGACACATGTGTCGGTACCGTGTCCTATCGACATGGGAACATGGATAATACCAAGAACGACATCTCAACTGATTCGAAATATTTATTCACATTTTTTTCTTTCGTCGCTTTTGTTTCATGTGACTAAGAAAAACTAATAATGTTTTTTTTTTCGTTCCGTTTTTAGTTTGATTCATAGGTAAAAGTAATTGTTTTTTTTCATAAAACACAAATAATGATTCATGCCTTTCTTCATAATATGTTTTTAAAAAATTTCCATTATAGATTTTCAATAGTTTTTCAATATCAAACAACATAAAAATTAAGTCAATGGAAAAATTACCAGTTGAATTATTCCATTGTATTTTGGATAATCTTGATATAGAAATAATCGCTTTCTCAGTTCGATCGGTATGTCGATTATTTCGATTGTTTGTTAATAGTTATGATCGATATGTTTTGAATTTGACTTTAATTTCCAAAAGAAATTTTTATCTTCTTTGTCAATTAATTAATCCAAATAATGTTACATCATTGACACTTGCAAATGAAGAACAAACACCAAATCAAATAGATTTGTTTATTTCACTTGTTCGTCTTCGTCAATTTACTCGACTTCATTCAATAACTCTTCTTCACATTGATGAATATCAATTAAATTTTATTTTAGAACGAATTAATCTTAATTTGGTTACTTCATTTTCATTTAGAATTAAAAATTACGATGATAGACATATGCAAAGAACAAACAATTGTCTTACATCAATACTCTCGAAATCGAGTTTGAGAAAAATGGAATTTTATTTTAGAAATAATAGATTATCGAAGATTTCATGGCCATTCAATTGTTCAATTCAATCTTTGGTTGTTAATCGACACATAACTATGGATAATATTTTAACTATACTTCAATGTTCTCCTCATTTACATAAACTTATTTTGAAAGAGAGATTAAATGAGATCATCAATCATGTCTCACTAAAATCTACTGCTCCCATATATTTTCGACAGTTAAGATCGTTAACTATAGAAAATCTTAGTGAAACTATTGATCTATTAGAATCCTTTCTTTTATTGACACCATCACTGATTCATTTAAAACTTGTTGGTTATAAACTTATGTCCAATGGTAAACAATGGGAACAATTCATTCAAATAAATTTACCTAATTTAGTTAAATTTGAATTTTATTTTGTTTATTGGAGTGAAGATAAGATAACATCAGATAGTCTTAATTTATTTATTGATTCTTTTCGAACTCCATTTTGGATTGAACACAAAAAATGGTTTATTACTTGTATATGCGATATCGAACGATCAAGAGTCATTTATCTTTATTCAATACCAATATGTATAACTTGTTTTAAATACGATGTAGAATTATATAAAAGTTCATATTTCAATTGTCCTACGATGATGATAAATTCATAAAAAATGATGTCAATTCCCTCAGTTTGACTTTAAATAAAGTATTAGCCAATTATATATACGAAAAGGTATTTTATTCGACTGGAGTTATATTATTTAACACATATAGTAGTATGCGATGAGAATCAACATTGTATGTTTTTTTGGTTTTTGATAGATCACTAGGCTTAACGAACCCATAGGAGTTTTATCTATCGTTCTTCTCATTCATTTAAGATTTATGTTATTATGGTGGTAAATTGATAAGAGACAATCAAAAACACTAATGTAGTGCAAATCGATATTAAAACAGATAAAATCTTTTTTGTGTCAATTTTTAACTCATTTCTGTATTAAAAATATATCCAACATATAAATATTTTCTATCAAACTTTATTATATGAGTTTATTCTATTCGAAAATAAAATCGGATTTAACACAGTTCTTCGAAACATAGTTGGATTCCGTTAAATTCGCTATTAATTCAGAAAAAAGTCAGATATTCGGTTGAATCTCAATGAATCTGACTAGTTTTTCCAAATAAATTTGTTCACTTTGATCCTATCTACAAATAGAATAAATTCAGATAAAGAAGTTTGGAAAAACAAATTCGTCTATTACATATGATTTCAATATCATAAAAACTGATGTCTTTGAGGCAGAAAAACAAGATTGACCTCATAGTTAGTAAAATATCTCAAGTTTATGTTAACTAGATATACGATCTCACAAAACAGAAAGTACCATATTATGTTTTCCATATATTTGAATAGTTAATTCATTTTTCTTAATCAAAATAACTAATTAGAGATATTTATCTTCATCACTTTCAAGCTGAACTCGAGTTATCCATTATTAATTGTATAAAATTTTGTTATTTAGAATGAAAAACCGTATCTTATCATTCTTCAGATTCTAGTATATATTAAAAAGCAATAATTTTGTCATTCACAATCATGAACTTAGTCGCAAATCGTGATTGCCGTGACCCTATCTTTTACAAAAATAGTAGTAGAACCAGGAGGTGACTAGAGGAAGGGAGTCAAGCCCCTTAAGAATCTATGCGCTCCCCCTAGTGAAATGTTCGAAGCATACATTTTATTCGCCAAGATGGTTCAACTCATCCCTAGAGATCTTTGAGTATCAGCCCCCCCCCCCCCCCCCCCCCCTTCCGCCACTCCCTAAGTCAGAATTCTGACCCCGGCATTGGGTAAAACTCTTGGTTGTGATTCCATAATATGTTAGTGTTGATTACTAATCAGAAACATTGTTCGCATATTTTACTATATGATCTAACTATAGAAGACACTAAACTAAAATACTAATTTAAATGTTGAATCGATTATATTTTTAACCTTGAGTCAGAAAATGTCACACTAAAAGCATTTCTTTTTCTATTGAATATATAAACTTATTTCAACTTTATAGTAGTTTGAGTTTGCAAAGTTCTGAAAGACAACTAAATAACTTGTAATTATTTAGTCGTCTTAAATGAGATTTTCCCACTATACTTAACATCAAACTATTAAAGCGAACTTTCAAAAATGATAAAATGACGGTGAATACATCATATCTTAAGAATTTATTGAAAGTATACTTATGCTATCCGGGATAAAACAGTGTCTACATTTGAATATTTTAAGAAATCAACAACGGATCAACTTCTGTTTCCAAAAGTGACTAGCGTCAATATGCACATTTACAAAGAATGGCCGTTATTTCCTCTCAAATGTCTCTCAATATTCATCAATATTTCTCAAATAGTTCAAATAACATTGTATAGCTCTTGTTTTAGTCAATACAATCAAAATATATTATTGAACATTCGTGATTTCTTTGAACAAGCTCACAATCTTTCCTCATTAATTATTCAAACTTGTTTATACATAAACAAATTAAATTTGGCAATAGAAAATATACATGCCGTCATTCCACAGCATATAAAATATTTGCACATGCCGATTTCTACTATAGATCAGATACAAATGATACTTGATCGTTGCAATCGTTTGATAACAATCACATTTGACGTTTGGTGTGCAACACTCAATGAAGAAATCATTAAATGGTTTAATAACAACACAATTAATTCGACGTGCTCGAAAGGTTTTCTTAATATGGTTTCTATATGGATCGGAACAAGAAAATTTCAATTAACTGATTTAACTGTTGATAGAAAACGTATGAAATTCTGCTAAGACCGATTCACAGATTCAACGCATTACGTTTTTAGCAACTTTTAATAACCAAGAATTTCAAATAATAATTTTCAAATTTTTATAAAAGTTAATTGTTACAGTTTCCTATGATCAGATAATTTTCATCCTAAAATATCTTTGTTTTTTTAACTACGTAAAAGGGTGTGGGTGTGGGATTGTGGGTGCGGATGTGTGGGTGTCGATAGAAGATAACTGAAATGCTGTCACTCACACCCACACCCGCCAAAATAAAAAAAACATATGAAACCCACACAGTAATGTAGGTGTAGATGAGAAGAACTTTCATATTCATACCACATGAGTTTTTTCGTTTTGATTGGATAGACGAATGTTTGTAAAGAAATCGGTATCGATAGTAGAGAAAACATTCATCTATCCACATACTCTAATGAGACTGTCTCAATGCAAAAATATTTGTTTCATCAATGTCAACGTCTTGATAACGTATTATGCAAAATTAATGGCACAAAGTATTGATCTCTATTTATCTTCGAGAGACAGATGCTGAAAGAAATTTTTTTTCACCAAAAGATAGAGCTTTATCCCCTCTTTCGAATCGTATATAATTTATTTTTTTAAACACGTTTGTAAATGGAACGACACAATAAAAAAAGAGACACCCTCAAAACATATTCGCACTTTTTCTGTAAAAAAAACGCACAAAATGTCAAACTTTATATCTGTTCTATAAATATGCTCTTAAAGAAAAATTTGTTATCAGTTAATAGGAAATTTTCTTCTCTTTAGAACGGTGTGTGATTTATAGTTATCACACATTCGTAAATGGAATGAGAAGAATAAAGAAAAATACTTGCACAAAAAATTTGCAATTTTTGTATGAATCAGTCAAAAACTTCTTGTGGGTGGTAATTAAGTATAGTTAATTATTGATTTACAAGCTGTTTTAACGAGTTTATAACACGTGAAGTAACTACAGTTTTACAAGAGCTTTTTAATGAGTACGGAAAGATCAAGTGAATTATTGTCTAGCAAGATGTTTTGACGAATTCATATAAAAGTTTGCAACTTTATTGCACCAGTGTTTGTCTTTCTTCTTTGTCTCATTTCACTCAGGAATGTGTGACGAACATAAATCATGCACCGTTCGAAAGAGGAGAAAATTTCCTATCAACTGATAACAAAATTTTCTTTTCAAAACGTACCTATTGAAGAGTCATTCAAGAAATATAGAAATCAACATCTTCCGTCGTTTTTCTAAATTCCACGAAAAGTGTGGATATGTATTGAGGGTGTCTATCTTTTTTGTTGTGTCGTTCCGTTTACAAATGTATTATAAAAATAAATTATATATGACTCGAAAGAGGAGAAAAAGCTCTATCTTTTGATAAAAAAAATTTTGTTTCAGCACATACCTCTCCAAGAGAAATAAAGATCAACATTTCGTGTCATTACTTTTGAATCGTACGTTATTTCATAAATCCAATGTTGTTCTCCACTATTACAAAGAGATAATAGAATATTGTCACGAAATAAGAGATTTCTTTCTCTTTCATGAGAGATTATGAGCGAATGTCCACTTGTCATGAAAAACATACTCTAATACAGATTTTAAAATAGATTTCGATAAATCCAACGAACTCAACATTCTTTGATTAGGTTTCATGTATTTTTATGAAGTCCGTAAAACATCTTACACACCTTTGATAAGCCATTATTATAATGCTTTCGTTCTGATTTAGAAAAGATTAAAGAGTTTCAAATTCGTGGTAACAATGCGGTTGTGCGACGAATATTAACACTCATATTCACATCTACATCGTCTATATCTTGCAGTATTTTTGTTTTCTCTTTAGAACAGGGATATGTCTTCTGTTTTGAACGTGGAGTCTGAGTCTGCTCTTTCTGTAGAAGATAAGAATGTTACAAAAGAAGCTCGTCGTTTGTATCGGACAATGTTTGGAAAACTTTTGGACGATGACATCAGTACACCATCATTGATCTGTGAGCGTCTATTTCTTGGTTCTGCACCTGATGCCCGCAACCTTGACAAGTTGCAGCACCACCGCATCAAGTATGTGCTAAATATGACGGGATCGACATCATATCCTGTTGATTTCTTCGCGGTTTCCGGCCACCCACATGTGATACTTCTCTCTATGGATGCACATGATGAAGATGATTATGACATCTCTGCTTGCTTTCCTGTGGCACTCAATTTTATCCACAAGTCATTACAGACTGGAGATGGAGCTGTTTTGGTTCATTGTGCCGCAGGTAAGAAGAAAAAGAAAAACAAACATCACAAAATAAAATACTTATAACCTGTTGTTTTTTCTGCATACAGGTGTATCTCGTTCAGCTACGATAGTTGCTGCCTATTTGATGGCTGCACACAAGATCAATGCTGCCGAAGCCATTTTACGCGTACATCAGGCACGTGCGTGCGTGTGCCCAAACCTCGGTTTTCTGCAGCAGTTGCTGCGTTTCGAGCGTACAGATTTCAAATTTACATGATGCTATAATGTGATTCATTATATTTGATATTACTGTCTTTCTTCTGTTTTGATTTCATACATATCTTCTTTTCATCATCTTAAGATATTTTCCAAACTTTTTCTCTTTTGATATTGTTAAGATAATTTCCCGCTAGTTCATTTTTTTCAATTACCTTTAGCTTTTCCTAGTTTGCTGGCATATATTTGACAACAGTTTAAAAAAAGTTAGACGTTCATTATCGATCAGCTCGATAGAATTCTTTGTTTCATGCTTGTACGATGATGAGAGTCATGGGCATGGGGATCTGTGAGTGCACATTCGGATATGAGTACGAATATGAAACTTCTTTTCTTTCACACCTACACTCAACATGACTATACTGGCTTCTCTAAGTTTTGTTAGGTTTTTTTCGCGTGGCTTCAGTTTTATTAAATAATACTGAAGACTATATGTGTGAAGAAAAAACACCAACCTAATAAAAGACACAGAAAGGAAAAAAGAATATAGGTATGTGTGTATGACGCATAAGAGAAATGAATAAATCTATACGTCATGTATGAGTAAACAGAAAAGAAATTTTCCTGCGATGTATCATTTAATTAGTACTCAAAAAATCATCATATAATATATATATATATATATATGCGCGTATTAAACAAATCCGCAATGGTTCTCAATTCGTTCTATTTAACATTAAAAATAAATTACTATTCGCATTGTTGTCATGCTAATTCATTTTACCAAATCTCTGTGAATAGAATCATTATCGTTAACATAATAATTTTATGAAAAAATGGAGGAAAAGTTAAAATCATTATTAAAATATTGTCATAGTTATGATCAAGATATACTCGAAGGTTCACGTGTAGAAGAAATAAGTCGGTTCTATTTTGCATGTAAGAATGGAGATACAGATATAGTTAAACAAATGTTACCTACTATTCCTTATGATCAATTAAATCAGTTGGAGCCTAATGGCAGTACTGCTCTCCATGCTGCAACATATTGTGGTCATTTAGACATTGTTCGTCTACTTCTACATGAATATGGTTGTCAACGACATCTAAGAAATCTTTACGGTTTTACAGCATATGAAATAGCACAAACAGAAGAAATGCGACAAGTTTTTCATCGACCATCAAATAAAAATCGATTTAATGACGATTCGATGGGTTTTGAACAAACTTTTAGAAGACATTCATCATCAATAAATCAAATTGTAATGGGTAGTCGTATTGATGACAATGACGTTGCAAAACCCAATCAACGGTTTTATGTCGGTTATGAAACAAATGAAGAAGTTAAAAAGCAATTAGATAGTATTAATGGTGTTAAAGCGCTCTTTCAATCACGAATCGGACGATATATAATGAAGCAAGGAATAAAATTAAAACTTGGCAAAAGAGCTGGCTATAGTAAGGAGGAATATCCTTATATTGCAAATGAAGAATTTCAACAAGAATCTTTGCAAAAGATATTAGATGAGAGTGTTACTTCGAATCATATTGACTATAAACATTGCTGTTATCTACTCAACGAATACATTCAACAAGGTACAATCGAATCTTTGTTAAAACTCTACACATTGGAAACACCATTTTATTGGTCATTATTCAAATCGCCAAGTCCATTAGAATTTCCACTTTTTATGCATTTGTCAGATTTAAAAGAACGTTATTATCAAGGATATTCCTATCGTGGTGTTCAACTGACTCAACATCAGTTAGATGAATATCGGTGGGCATTGAAAACTAAAGATAGTGTTTTATCATTGGTTACATTTGCGTCGACATCTATTAATCGAAGCGTAGCTGAGCAGTTTGCTGTAAAATCATCATCATCAGATAAAATAACTGCCCTATTGATATTTCATTTTCCTCAACCATGTGACACAGCAATCAACTTAAGTAAAATTCCTCAATATCAATTACCATGTATATCAAATTATGAAAATGAAAAAGAAATATTAATTGCTCCACGAACATTTTTCAAAGTGACAGATATTGAAATTGATCAACCTCCTGAACGTTATACGATTTATTTAGAGAATGTGGGCGGAGAACGGCAAACGATGTTGAAGGCACTAAAATTTTTCCTTACAGATGACTTGAACAGAAAAACAAACAAACTCTTTGTTTTCGATCATGTATTCTGTACTAATGATTGAAATTTTTCGAGAATGAAACTACGTCAATGAATAAAGAGATATGAAAATATTAGCATATAACTCAAATCATTATATTTTTTACATTTTAAATAAATTTTCAAAGAATTATTCTTTTTGTTGACTCTAAATGACATCTTTGAATCTTAAACGTTCATTTTTTGGTTATTTTTGAAATAGATGAAGATATACTCAGTACATGAGGGTGTGAGTGTGGGCGATTGTACAGAAAGATGCTTCTGGGTGGCCATTTAACACATTCGACTTGATGTGAGCCATCGGTGGCTCACGATAAAAAGATTGAATATTTTCATTCTGATTTAACTAAATGAGCTGGTTTTTTCGTCGATGATAGAGGAATATTTAAATTTTTTATTTATAAGAGAAACGTCAATAAACGCCGTGGTAAGGTGTTATAATTAGTTTTGAAAAGGAAAGATGACTTTATACAAGTATAAAAATATTCCTCTGTAATTTGCAAGAATTATTAGTCTAATTTTTTTAAGAATTTGCTGACTTTTACTTCTTAAGGTCAATAATAAAGTGTAACGCGGCGTTCATTGGCGTTTTTCTTATAATTAAAAACTTTAAACATGCCTCTATCAACGATGAAAAAATCAGCTCATTTAATTAAAACAGAGTGGAAATATTCAATTTTTTTGTAGCGAGTCGCCGGTGGTTCACATCGGGTCGAGTATGTTAAAATGTAAGTATAGATGTGTATGAATAATATATTCTAATCAAGAGCTACACACACACCCCCAAGAATTGGTCTCTTTAGAAATTCAGGTTGCGCAAAAGAGATATAACAGAGGCGAAGGAGGCCATTTTTGGAACGAAATATAAGAATGAAATAGTTAAGTTAGTTAATACTTATATACTACGACTGTCGTTTATAATATCCTCCAGCAAAGAAAAAAAAATATATTATTTAGCTTTTTTTCTTACTGTCATAAAGTATAGTAATAAAGTTTAAATGAACGTTTTATCGATCTTAATTAGACCAGTCTGACTGAATATCACTCAGTCTTATAGCATTAAATGAAAATTTTAAGTTAAAACTTTAAGATCCTACTTTAGGGTGGGTGTGAGTGTCGGTGTCGGTGTGGATGTCGATCGAAGATGACTGAAACGCTCCCACTCACATCCACACCTCACACTCACACCCATACCCTTGTTATACTCGTCGAATGAATAAAAAATGATTTAGTTATCTTTCTAAACGAATTCATTGAAAGAAAATAACGATTAACAAGGAAGAAAAAAATTAGTTTAAATAAAAATTCTTTTTTGTTTTCTTTCGTGTTTGAAAAGGAAGAAGTACAAAGAATTATTTTCATTTTAGCCAAATCAAATCAAGGAAGAAAAAATGAACTTATTTTATATTAGCTTTCTTCAAAATGATTTTTTTTTCTTTTTCATAAAACATTTTGCTTGTTTTGATCTCTATTTTGAGGTCAGAACGAAAACAACTTGTTTCTTCAATTTTCATATTCAACTAGAAAAATTTCAAGAAAATAGCAAAATAAAGTTTCATCTGGGACAAAATACGGATGGAAAAGAAGAAAGAGATTTATTTATGCTAATTTATTTCTGCAGATCCAATAAGAAAAACTAAACAATCTTTCATTTTTCTTTTGTTTAGATTTTAAATCGTCAAATGATTTTCACATTCAAAGTTCAACGGAAGTTTTTTAAATAGTCTCTAAGAAAAAATAAATCTCGGAATTCATCTCATTTTGGTTGTTTATTCTAATTTCATATAAAGACAAAATCATTAATACCATTCTGATAATCTTTGACTAAAATTTGAATAGATTATGTGTCTTGATCTCAAAAGAATTGTCCGAGGCAATACTTGTTACTTAACCGTGAGTAAAAGATATTCGATGAGATAAACTTCGCAGAATTATAGAAGTTGAGTACTGCAAATGTTCTTTTGCAATTCATACTTTTTTTATTTTTCTCACATGGACAGCATCTACAAGCGCTGTTTCATCAGCGATAAAAGAATCAGCTCACTTATTCAAAATGTGGCGAATATATTCTATTTTTCATTCGGTATAGTCATTTCTGGACCACCCTATATGGTTATTGACAGAAAAAAAGGTAAAGTGCTGTGAAAAAAAATATTCATCTTTTCTTTTTTTTACGGTGCACTTCTGCATACAGTTGCATGTACGATGAATATGCAGGCCTACGAAAAAGAAAAACAACAGCATACATTTTTTTTTCGTTTGTTTGTATCCTCAAAGTATAGGTATTCATTTGTCTTCGGTTTGAGAAATCAAAATCAAAAAAACAATTCCTGATAGAAACGATAAAATAAAGTATTTGCGTAGTAATTATTTTGTTGACAGCTATCTATGAATATTACTTATACTAAACCAAAAAAATAATCTCGAAAATTGCATACATAAGAAACCATTAATTACGTGTCAACATTTGATTTATTTTACTAATTATACAAATACACCATTTTAGTTTTATTGCAATGTTATTAAACAATGTGCCACTAATATGTCTTTATTGTGACAGAAAAACTTCATCAATAAAAACAATTTTGTGCTGATTTTTCACATTTCTGAATGTCTCGAAACCTTGAACTAACTTAACATTATGATTTGTCCAAACCATTACAAAAGCATGTGAATTTCTCAGCGGCGAAATTCGATACACCAATTGTTTGCGCATAACTGCTAGATAAACCTGGTTATATTCTACAGAATAGCTAACAAATTGCTTTAAACCACCGAAATCTCATTGATACAGCAAAAATAACTTATTTATATTGCAAAGCTCTATGTATTAGAGAATGGCGAAGCATTACAGCTTTTTGTTTCAAAGAAAATTTTGAAACCGTAGTTCTTATGACATTTCCTAGAGATTTCAATAGATAATTGTTTGACATCAAACATTATATAATTACCTAATCGCGAAGGGCGCAAAAGAAATTGGGTTTTTCTTACTAATTTACTTATTAGTTTAAAAGTTTTCTATATAACCATGAGAATATCAAAACTCGAACAAGAATTGTGTGCTTAGACACAGTTTCCCAAATATGTTATTGTCTGGTTAATTCATTCCATCTTCCCTACGAATAGAACATTATAGCAGAAATTGTTGTTCCTGTCTCTTATTTTAGATCATTAATGTGATTATGTCTAGCACTACATCATCCGACGAATTGTCATCTCTAACTCCTTCAATTCCACATCTATTTTATTCCTTTTCACCTAATGATATTGAGTCTAATCGAACAATTGACAATGTACGAATTGCATGATTCACTGAAAGTATTCAAAATCTAACGAATGATTATATCGATGAAATTGTTCTTAATATGATCGCACCGACGGAACGAATTGATGATACGAATTTGTTTGTTGACTTTGTAACGGATATTTAACAAAACGAACCAAATGAGACATTATTATTTCTTATCATTAATTCCAGAAATGAAATGAGCCAGTTCATTATTAAAATATTACATGATCTTGCACAAATTGGTTCTATTTATGTATTACAAGATGAACACAATGTTTATGTACTATGGCCTTTTGAACAATATGGAAAGGTGAATGGTCCCTTTTCAGTTGTCGCGAAATTTTATGATCAAATGAAAACGGATATGCTTCGAATCAAACGTGAACGTGAATGTATTAGTTTCGTTATATGGCGAGTTTCAGACAACACCGATAGTCTCAACACAGTATTTCAAAGAAAAGATCGACAAGAAGCCGCATTCATGTTCGGTCAGTTGCTTAAACGTGTTCTTGTTGATACCTATAATAAAGACGATGATTCCATTGAATCATTCAGTAATATGATGCACTGCCTTCGCCAACTGTTTGCTAATGATAAATCAAAATTGAATTTTCTTCAGGAATTTGAAAGCGAATACAAAACTCATACACCAATATATTGGTATTCATTAGATAGTTTTCTATATGAACTAGTTAATAAGGCACTTCGTGAACAGAATACAGAGCTACTCTTTCATATACGCATATTTATCCGTGGTCTTCATCAACAGATTGTTGTTATTTATAACAGTCGTACTACTACGGAATGCACCACTGTTCTTCCGATGGTTCTCTATCGTGGTGCACTGATACCTATAAACGAGTTGAATGACAGAATTTTGAATAATCCTGAAGGTTTACTGTCTATTAGTAGTTCTTTATCGACAAGTGCTAATAAATAACTTGCGCTTGTTTTTGCTGGTCGTGCTCAAAAGTATACGAATAAAATGCCCGTTCTATTTACTATATCCATGAATGATTGTTTATCATCACCCGTTCCATTTGCCTATATGGATCCATACATTAATGGAAATGAACAAGAATATCTGTTTTATATGGCTACCGTCTTTCGCATTGATAGACTTGATCGACTCATCGATAATGATGCTTATTGTATTCATTTGAAGTTTACAAATGATAATGATTCACAACTTGCTGCTCTAACTGAATATGTCTATTGACAAATGAAAGGGGCTAAATTAATACCAAATATAGCTTTTTATTCTACGAAATAGGTGATTATAAGAAATCTGCTCAATTTTATATTCAATTGCTCCAAGAATCGAACCTATTACCTGATGAACGGGCAATTGCTTTGAGTAATCTGGGTTCAACTTACGACAGTGCAGGAGACCATAGCAAAGCTCTTAAATACTACTTGGAAACATTGGATATCGAAAAAGAACATAAATTATCTTCTGATAGGACACTCTGCAATATCGGTTATGCCTATTGGCGACTTCAACAATACGAACTTGCACGTAAATATTACCAATTGGCACTCGACATGGCTTTATCTCAGCGAGATAATGAATTAATTGCATGTATTTATGAGAACATCGCAACTTTATTAGCTGATGAAAATGATCTTAATCAAGCCCTTGTCTATCATGATAAAGTACTAATAATTCGAGAAGAATATTTGCTATCTATACATAAAAATATTGCAATGACGCATTACCTCACTGGCAACCTTTTATTTCGACAAAGTAACTTTGATGGTTCTCTCAAAGCATTGAAGAAGTGTTTACATATTCAACTATTATCATTACCTCCTGATCATTCAGATCTTCATATGACGTTTACACGAATTGCCGATATATATCGTCATCTAGGACGACATGAAGATGCATTCGATGGAATTGCCCGAGCAATGAAAATTAACCTTCAATCAATTGAAATGAATTGTCGTCTGCTCGGATCCGATCATCCAAACATACAATCTGACTTAGAAGAAATTCGTCTATTATCTCCTGAACTCAATAGAAATCGATCAACAAATAATAATAAAACATAATATGCTAAAGCCATGTATATCTTAAACGCGGGATTATCGTTTAGGTTATTGAAGAAGAATATTACATTGTTTTAATTAATTCAAATAAATGAATTTTTTAGAACGTTATTTTTTTAAACTTTTAAACTTTTATCTGGACTCTTCTGAATTAATCTACATATATTATTCGTCTGTCAATGAGATCTTGTCTTGTATTTCTTTGTCAAAACCCACGATCAATGGCAGGGGTGGAACCGGTTGAGAAATATTAAAACGGTCCGGTCCGGCCGGTTGAAAAATCCTACCGGCCCGGTCCGGCCGGAAACCGGCCGGTTGGAATCACATGTCCAACCGGTGAAATTCCGGTAAAAACCGGTGGAAAAATGTCGAATTTTTTTTTGAAAACCGATTTTAGAAAAAATCGCTCCAAATATGAAATAGTTTAAGGCGCATGTAAAAGACGCTTATCATAATGAATCTTTTTAAAGAGAACCTTAGGAAAAACGATTAATATAACATATGTTTTGAGCACTTTTTTACCTATTCTGACAGAAAAAACATGTGATACCTTAGTTTTTATGGTCAAAGACAGGATTAACAAAGAAGATTTTTGAAAAATTTCAACCGGTGAAATTCCGGTCTTTACCGGCCCGGTTGATTTCTTCAACCGGTCCGGCCGGACCGGTACCGGTTTGCCGGACCGGTTCCAACCCTGATCAATGGTGGTTCTGAAAAAAAACCACTGGTTCACCGTAATTAATTGAGGGTTTTCTAAAACCGGTCTTGATTACTAAAAACTATTATAAAGTACCTGTTCATTTTAATAAACAATTTTTTTTCTGTATTTAGATCAATTTCAATATGGAACTGAACAGTAAGTATTTGGTTGAATATATAATATTTTTCTCTATTGAGATCAGTCTGAAAATGGAACTGGTCAATATTCGGTTTTTTTTGCTAAAACTAGTTTGATTTGTTTTTTTTTTGAAACAATAGTTCGCTAGGCTTCTCAACACGAACGTATGCTAACGGTAGGGTGTGGGTGTGCGCGTGGATCTTCGTTTGACTCATAGCCATAGTACATCCCACACACAAACTCTGTCGAATACGTCGAGACTTGGTATCTTTTATCCAATCTAAGCACATGTAGCAAATAACAAAAAAACATAAATCTTGATCTGTTCGTGGGTATGGGTGTGATATTGATTCATCGTATAGTTATCTAGATGATTCATTTTCTATTACCATGTGTATTCACAGCTGCCTTACATTCAAATAGAAAGAGTGACGTATAACTCATCTTAGTGCTTTTGTTTTAATTATCTTAAAGCTAAATTTCTTCAAAACTGCGTTTTGAAACTCGATTTGTGTGAGTACGGAGAGTCCTAAAGACAATTTATTAAAACATGTTACAGATTGGGTATGGGTGTGGGTGTGAATCTTCTTCATCCACGCGCACACCTACATCCATACTCTCAATAGAGGTGACCAACATGAAGTCAATGCACACAAATATTCAATTGTTTTACGTCACTTAGTTAGTAAACAGCAGGAACTTTTATTTTATAATCAAGGCTTTTTGATGTTTTCAAATTCTCCTAAAGGGTTAAAACAGATTTATCTTTTCTCATAATATACTCAGTATATCAAATGTAATTTTTATGACAGCTTTTGTTGTTTCGATTACTTTGCATTTGTTTTCAACGTGTTCAGATCAGCTGAATACCATACGGACACCTTCATTTACAAGTATCATACTAGATATTCTGTTGCACTTCGACATTCTTATATATTAACAGTGTAACACACTTAAAAATACACACTTTTTTCTTGAAATTATTATAATGAGTTCAACTTCGTTCTTTGTTATAATTTATTTCCTATTCGATCAAACTCATCTCTATTCCCAGAACTCGTCTTATCGTTTTTTCATACCATTCTGTTCCTTGCTCCTGCAGTCGATACAGCTTTTTAAACACGTCTTGATTTTGCTTCTATTGTCAAATTTTTTGTATTATGCGAGTACGTGACATGGCAAACTCTTAGTAAGCTATGCCTGGAGAGTGAAGCAGAGACTGAGCATGAGAATAAAGGTATAGGGTAGGTGAAGCTAGAAAAAAAACAAGTGAATGTCATAAGCAAGGGCGTCGATATTCACCACTTATCCTTTGCTTTCATCAGATATATCAATTCAATATTTTATCATATATAAATTGATCAGTTTCTTTTTATTTTAACAATATCTAACGATCAAATGTAAAAGTAGAAAACTTAAAGCCAAATAGAAAACATTGAATTCGAACAGTTTGCATAAAATATCAACGTATGATATTTCAAATCAGTATTGTCAATAAGCCATTGATGAAATTTACCGTCACTTAGTATTCCATTTGATTGTCCATAAACATATTTCGTCGAAAAATTGATTAATCCAGACCAAAAACGTAACTTCTTATCACTACTATCATCCATACTAAACAAAACTTGAAAGCACCGAAGAAATAACGAATTATCCAATGGAAATAATAATTCTAAATATTTAACATTTGGATATTGATGAGCAAGAGAAGATATTTCTTGTTCATCAATTAAACGACGTTCAACAATTAAATGATGAATATAAGGTTGAACTATTGACTGTATGGAACCAATAGCTAAAACCAAAATAATTACAAAACGTCTATTTTATAAATATATCTTACGAGTTTCTTCTGTAAGAATCAATTTTGTAATTCGTTCAGGTAATTTCCTATTAATTGAAAAACAAGTTGTTATTTTACAAACTCGATGAAAACGAGTTTCCAATTCAATTAATTCATCTGATTTTGTAATCTTCACATGTTTCATATGTTCAGCTTGTTTAACATCTGATCCAACTGTTGTCATATATCCATTTTTAACAATAGGTAATCGTCGTTGATCATCTTTATTTGATGGCCATGGTAGTGAATATATATGGATCCATTTAGAATTTTCATTAAAATAATAAGTAACATTCATTGGCCATCGAATGAAATCTTCAACTAATAATTTATCACTAATTTGATGTGTCACTGTATAATCAAATTGACGAAGATGTGGTAAATATTCTGTTAATATCGATTCCATTGTGGGACCATGACAAAATTGTGAATCAGGTGTATCACGAATACTTAATGTTAATTTAATTAAATTTGACATTGAGCTAAAAATACATTTAAGATTATCAATAACTAATCTGACACAAGGTTCGAACAGAGCAAATTCAGTTAGTTGAGGACATGATAATTTACATGGTAAATGAAGACATGCTGAAAAAGAAAGAGAAAATAAGTTTCATAAATAGAAATATCTTTGAATTAAGGAGCAGAAAAGTTCACAGGGCAAAGTGATTTAGGTCAATTAATCTAATCTACTGACGAACTTGCACATATTATTCCATCAGCTAGATTCAAATTGGATTCCGATAGAAATATGAACGATTTCTTATCGAATTGAAACATCTTGGAAGATCTTTATATTCTGAAAATAATGTAAACATCAAGTTTTCATTTTCGATAAGAGTATTTATTTTTTGAGTCATAAAGTGTCAAAAAGTCGACAATAAACTGCAGAGGACAGAGTCATTTTATATGTTAATAATTGTCCTTCTTAGGTGTACAATCGATAGATATGATACAAGTAAAAACATTCACCGAAAAAAGTTATTTTCCTATGTTATCCTAAGGTTGTATGCGATTACAGTAAATAAGTAACCGGTAAATAGTACATAATATAATTCTCACAATCATATTTTTACGCACATGGAAACCATCCCAACTAATTCTCAGCTTTCGGCTTCACCTTTTGACAATAAGAAGGCTTCTATGAGACTAAGAAAATCCTAGAAAGATTGGTGCTTATGGCCTATTGATCAAGAGTTATCAGCAATTTACCGAATTTCCGGCTTATCTATGGATATTCATCGAAAAATCAAACTATTAGTTTTCGATTTGAAATTTTGTTCAACGATAGGTGTGATGATCGAATTTACGAAAGTATTCAGTATCTCGACAAAGGTACATTTTTTTTAAATGAAACTTTCAAAGTATTTTAATGATCGTCAGACCTATCCTTGGACGAAATTTCAGATCGAAATCTCGTACTTTGATTTTTCAGTGAATATACACAAATAGGTCGAAAATTTAGTAAATTGCTCGTAACTCTTGGTCAATAGGCCACAAGTACCAAACTTTGTTGAGTTCTCTTAGTCTTACCAAAGCCTACTTATAGTGAAAAGATGAAATCGAAAGCTCGGAATCAGTTAGGATGATTCCCTTAACAGTCCTATATTGTGTATATTGCTGTGAAGACTTTTAATATAGATAATTATGTGCTATATCAATGAATTCATTTTATTTCAAACATGTCTTGTTTCCTCTGAACGATTTTTCGCTGCAAATAGATTTCTATATAACGAACACCGTTCAACTCTAAACAATGAATACTATATCGAATTCCTTAGTCAAAGAAAACCTCCACATAATGAACATGCACGTACGACAATATATGCAGGTGTCTTGAAACAATAGAAAAAGAAAGAGAATAGGGTAAACATTCTGAAGCCATGCTAGATCAATTCATCAACTGTCTGTCCATTACAAGAAAAGAAGCAATATCACTGAATAGTCGGCGACGAATTGACCCGTCGCATATGACAGAATGGCATACTATTTCAGATGACGACTGAAATAAAAGTCAAGTTTATCAACACAATAGACATAGTCATTTGATTGCACCTACTGTCTTTCAGCAACCATGACCGCGCTCTTCACTTATCACTCAGCTCACTCAACTTTTTTGCTCATTCGAAACAAAGTCAATAGACAAAGAACGATGTTTCCTACAAAAAAATGAATAAACATCTACAACATTTGAAACAAATAGTTTTTTTTCTTTCAGTTAATTGAAGTGAATTTTGTTAGGTACAGTGCAAAGTCATAAATGGGTAATACGGATCATTAGTCAATGAATCCTTTTTGGAGGGTTCTAATGGTACACATTGTATAGAGGTTTTACTGACAAACGATATATAAATAAACTTACTCAAAATACGTGTTTGAGTTAAATGGACAATTAATGATTGAACATTTGGTATAAGTCGACCGAGTAATATACATAAATCATCGATTGTTTTTAAAATAATTTCAGCATGACGAAGATTTTCATGAGATATTAAAGATTGATATAATGAAAGGCCATCTAATAATTCAATCTTTATCGTGTTTAATGATGAAAGCTTTTTGTTGAATAATATTCGACCAATCGATCCATCACATGGTTCTTCGGAAACTATCCATTAAATAGAACTGTTTAGTTTCTTATTTATTCTCATTAACTTATTAATCAAAGAATGATGAAATCAACTTACTAAAATATTTGTCCAACTTATGAACATTAATATGAAAATATTCAAGTCGCTGTAGATCATCGATATATTCTCTATCAATTTGTTGAATTTCACTTGTAGAACAATCGATTAATGTAAGACGTTTCAAATTGGTGAATATTGATTGAATGAGATTCTTACGAATATAAGTAAAATATCGTTGTGTTAAACAAGTTATATGTTCATTACTTAATATTAGAGATTCAGGTTGAAGAGGAGTATTAGAATCACTAAGTAACTCGTGAATATAGGCATATGCATCAAATGATATTTTATCAAGTTTTATTTTTGTATAATAATCAATTATTGAACGATGTAAACGTGTTTCAGCTTTTTCAGGTGTATAAAACGAATAAAGAACATAAGCTGGTGATAAATAACGACAAATAAGAAGTAAAATTTCATTTGGTAAATCCATTAAAGTAGTTCTATTGTCATGAAAATGTTCTAATGATAATAAAGAATTATCAATATTCTCGTCAGCACGTTTCATATCGTTGTTTCACAAAATTTCAAGATAGAATAAACGTTGCTTAGATCTTTTTTTGATCGTTTCTTTCTGTCTAAATAAGTATACAATATCTAAAAGATGTTGTATGGGAATAAAAGCTTGCTTGATCGATTCAGATATATGAGAACTTCCCAAATGAGGACGCCCAACATGACTAGTCCAAACTGTTCACATCATCCAGCAAGTCTAGTCTGATACGCGTCTTCTGTATCTTTCATGACTAGTCATCTTTACAAGGTATGTCCTGCAACTACATTTAGACTAGTCCAGAATAAAAAAGGAGACGAAGATTGCATTTGAACACTTGACTCAATGATATTTCACACATGACGGATACTTCGAGGCTAATTAGTGACGAACGTCGCGTTAAATAGTCTAAATAGCAAAAATTCAGTTTATTTTCAAAGTTCGATAGCAATAAATTTAAATAATGACCGAACGTGAAATGTGATTGAATAAGAGAATTGAATTTTTTTCAAATTTACATTATTTTTCATCATAAATATAAGAAGAAGTTTTTAAAATATGAATTGATAACAAGCAGTTTTGTAACGATCAAAAGCAACCAATTTGGCAAAAACAGGGCTTTAAGATTTTATCTTGTATAATTTTGTCGAAATAATTTTCAGTCTGTCATAGAAACTTTTTTTCTAATATAAAAAATGATATAAACTCTAAGTAAAATCGTATGACACGGCATCTTAGAATGTTTATTAACATATAGAAATTGATTACTTGATCGTCTAGTTCAATTGGCTGAATCATGGGTAAGTGATATTTGGTATGTATATTCGAACGTAGTCTTCACTCTTATATTTTCTAGCAATTTAGACTGGTCCGAACTAAACAAAAGTTATTCGAAAAATGGCAACTTGCCTTTTATTTTGTGGATCGAATCATAGTTCGTTTACATATACATGCAGTGATCGTTTGAAAAAATAAAAAAACAAGTTCATTTTCCACTAGATAGATCGATTCGCCAGTTAACAGGGAACCAATTTAATTGAATCGTAACACTACTAAACGATTCGTTGGAAAGGATGATAAGGTATGGAACCGGCGAGTCACCAGTGGCGCTCTGGAGAGGCGTCGACGAGCGACTCGCCGTTTATTTTAGGAGGTTGACACATCTTTTCTTGCGTAAAACTTTGAATGAAATGTAGTGTTTTTTCGAAAGAGCTGAGTCAATTGTTGTGGTGAAGGCGACTAATTTCAAAATCCTACCAATTCCTCATAAAAGGCAAAGAAATGTAATCTATGATGAGAATATCGCGCGCGTGCTATATATCCTGAACTCGACATTATCAGCGTTGCTTTCTCAAACTGCAAAAGTTGGAAGACTTGTTCATACATTGCCGGCTATAGCATCACACAAACCGAAGATTTATTTGATAATAGTTCTCAAAATGAATAGAATCAATATAGTCGAGGGTCAAGCAAGTCGTAGCGACGAGCGTTACTTGTTAACTTAACGATCACAAATAAAACGTATAATTATATTTAAAGAATATTTCGAATTGCTATCTATCAAGTTCTTTATTCTTTGATGAGATTTGGATAAAAGTTATTCATATGAAATATGTTTAATCAATTCGACAAATTGAATTTCTAATTCGTCGTCAGTCAAAATCAAATTTTTATCTGGTTTTGTTTAATAAAATTGGGTTTATTCGTAGGTTAATGGATTAATAAGAATTGCATTACGTAGAAGTAAAAATAAATATTTAAGATAGATCCGGGTAGAGATGTGAGTAAAGTAGGGTAGATGAGTATTAGAATGATTTTAAGTGCGTGAATGGGAGTGACTTGATGCATTATGGTCTTTTTTCACTGTCACTCTGTACATACATCACGCATGTTAAGGGTGTGCGTAGTAGGATAATCCACTCATGTGACATCCTCACTCTCACTCTTGCATATATCTATGCACAGTTACCTATCTACGTAGTTCAAATATATATTTTTTATGAAATCACCTAGAGACAGTACGCTACATTCACTCATGTAAAATGTCAGCTGCTAAGACAAGAAAAAAACAATTTGAGCTGTTTTTTTTAGTTGAGAAAGATACGGAATGAGAATGTGTGGTTGAGTGTTAGAAGTGTATTCAACCTTCTTTCACGATCCCTCATATCCACCATTCACAAGATAAATCTAGCAGTTAGATAAATAAACGATTAATCAACGTTGTTCTTTCGAAAGATGTTGTCAAGAATTATGCAGATCCATGATTTTGGCTTCCAGTAATTTGCGCATGTCGTTGGAATCGGCCGAAAAGTCGCAGAAAATTCACCGGAGCCCGTAAGAGCACACGAAAATTAGCGAAAAATGGAAGCAATATTTTGAGTAGGAAATCTTCGGATCGTTCCAGTGACTTTCGCTCATTTCCTAAAGCAAAGAACAGAAAATTGACCAGTGATCACTGGAAAAATCTCGAGACAACCGATCCAAAATACTGTTTCCATGTTCTCCTAATTTTCGATGTTTTCCTGCCGGCAGAATCAGTCTGTACGACCTGGATTCAAATGTTCTCGAAATATTTTCAAGAGAGACATGCTTCTACTGATGTCTAAAGATAATTATGTTTTCTATACATTAACAATTTCACGATAACTAATACTGGAAGGTTTGCATTGCATTTCTCAATCGAAAGAAACTCAAACACCATCTAATTCTTGTTGTTTTTTTTTACTAATAATATTCTAAATATACTGAATTTTAGCAAAAAATAGGTAAAAGAATTAGTTTTGACCTTTCTGAAAATTTTACGATATCAAGCAAGCATTATTCAATTGTTTAGTCAAATTTAGATAATATAATTTCTGCAAAAGAAAAGAAATTAGCTAATTCAAAATCTTGATAATATACTTTAATGCCTCTTGCAATTATTGTAAAGACTTTTACTCGCTATATTACATGATGATGTAAAAGAAAAAATGAATAAATTTGCTGTATCTGGTGAACTGCATTCAGCAGACGTGTGTCTAATTATAAAACTAAGTAGAGGATAGATTGTTTTGATTCTCTGAGTATTTTTATTCATTATAAAAACGTTTATGCGTGACAATCAACTGCAGTTGATAATTGAAAAGCATGATGAACTGGTGAAAAACATTACGTATTTTCGATATTAGCACTCAAGTTTTCTTTTCAAGCACAAACTGAAACAAAATTAGCAGCACTAAGATAAAATAAAGAACGAACCTGCTCTTCCGTATAGACCTAGATATAAATGTAAATGAAGAAACAAGAATTATAAACTTTTTTCCTGTTGAATCTTGTCGCATTTTCAAATAGAAATGTGAAGAAGGTAGATGACCATTTTGAGATAGAAAAAAACAATACACACACGTCTCTCTAATTGAGGGTACCACAGAAATCCTTATCACACACAGATCAGCATATATCTTTCTAGCTGAGGATGCTCGGATATCGTGATTCCACGTGAAAAGCACATTCCGTACTGATTTAATCGCAAATGAGCAATGCGAAGATTTTCACCCAAATTCGACCAAATTCATTTGGTAAGGAATATGTTTTTCATGCGGAATTACGATTTCTGAGCACCATTAGTAGATAGATATGTCCTAAAGTGTATGTGATAAAGATTTTCGTGGCACCATCGCCATCAGGGAAGCACGCGTATGCTTATTTAATATCTGTAAGAAATCATAAATGAAACTCGGGTTAGTTAACTTTTTTAGTACGATCAATTTATTTTTAAATAATTTCAAAAGCAACGCTACAAGATTGGTTATCGACGTTTCTGATAATATTGTTCAAAAATCAATCACAGAAAAGCAACTATAGTCTTTCAATACTTCGACTAATTCATGTTTTAGAAAATATTTATTCAATCATTCTTTTCATTTTATTTAAAAAGAACTATATACAAGAAATAAAATATGTTTTTTTAACAATTAAATCTTACCACCACAAATATAATTTCTGAGTAACATAATTTATTAAATAATCATCAAGTCATTTTTCTAATTTAGTTAATCTCTTCAATTCTCGTAAGGATCTTTTATGTACTTTAAAAACACACAAAAAGAATAAATGATGAACATTATTATTATTTTTTCCTAATAATAATTGTATAATAGAGAAAAATTCTTTTCTATTCATTTCAATTGTAAATTGTTCCAATCGACGACATAAATCAATAATCAATTGAATTTGTTTTAATATAAATAAAAGCATCCAAATACATATATGTCTTCTCAACAACAATCGCATCAACGAGTATTCTTAGTTACTGGAGCTAATATGGATTTGAAGTTGTGAAACAACTTGCGGCAACTCATCCAACTGATCTAATTTTGCTTGGTAGTCGTGGTCAGAAACGTGGCGAAGATGCTCTAGCTCAACTTGGTTCACCTTTAAATGTCAAAGTCTTCCTGGATGATGCATCATCTTTAGAAAGTATTGAACAGGCAAAACAGGAAATTCAAAAGAAATGTGTTGGTGCGATGTCACTTTTATTAAGAAGCAGTGGACGTATTGTTAATGTTAGTAATGAAGCAGGGGCAATGTCAATGAAACATTGTTCACAAGACTTAAAAACAAGATTTCCTGCCCTTGAAGATTTCTATTTATTATACGATTGCGCACCAAAAGTAGGTGTCAGTATTCTAACTCGTCTGAAAGCACGTGACTGGGATAAAAAATATTTAACGAAAAATGTAACCATCAATGGAATCTGTCCAGGATTTTGTGCAACTGATCTAAATAACAAAGCACAGGGTACACGATCATCTAAACTGGGCGATGACTCTATTTTCGATGGTATTTACACTGAGAATCTTGAGAATGGACAATTTTGGAGAGATAAAAGTCGTTTACCATTGGAATCAGAGGAATCACATACCCGAGTCTTACCAAACGTGATTCTTAACTTAAAAAACCAAGAACAATTTCAACAAATTGAGTGTGTGAGGGTGAACTAAAGAGCACACCGTGATCGCGATTTCGACCTGACC